TTACACTGGATGGAATTCTGTAATTAGTGACACTTGATTACATCTGCCCAAACACTTTCTGTAGACGAATTTCTAAACGGTCTTATGAAATAAAAAACACGGAGCCAGATAAAGGGGTTAAAGCCTGAGAGAGATCAGGGAAATAGGGAAAGCCGCAAGCTAACCTCACCTCACCAACTCCACAGCTTCCAAATGCGAGCGACTCCCTGTCTACCCATGCCTGTGTGCCTTGCTGTTCTGCCATCTGATGTACTTTCTCTGTCCAGCTACATCACGTCCTCTTCCTGCCCAGCTCTGTCATGGTTAACTAGCGTTGGGATTTAAGGCATGTGCCACCACACCTGGCTCTGGTTCCAGTGTGGCCTTGAACTCACAGAGATTCAGACAGATCCCTGGATGTCAAGTGATACAGGATTAAAAGCATGTGCTAACATTGCATGACTTTTGTGTTTACTTATAATGGCTTGGTTTTTCCTCTGATCTCCAGGCAAGCTTTATTTATTAAAGCACAAATAAAATATCACCACAACTTTCAAATAAGGCAGAATACTAAAGCACTATGGGTTAGACTTCAACAATCTTTTGTGTAGATACAGTTCAAAGGTATCAGTAGTTGGTAGCTATGTTTAAGAACCTATCAATATTTTCTTAAGTGGGATAAAGGATTTGCCTATTAGATTCTAAGATTCAGAGATTATCCTGGATTAATTTCCGATTAAGACGTAAGTCACCAAAGTCCTGGTCAGAGGTAGTCAAGGTGTACAATAGTAGCACCCATGCATGCACCGCCCCAGAATCCTGAAGAAGTAGGTGACAGAATGACCTGGCCAGCGAGGGACAAGCTTCCTTCCCTCTGTGTCCTTCATGTGGGCTGCCACACGAAGGTGTGGCCCTGATTTAAGGTCTTCCCACCTCAAATGATTTAATTAAGAAAACACTTCACAGGTGTATCCAGCCCCTTGGGTTTTAGCTAATTCCAGATGTAATCAAGTTGACAACCAAGAATAGCCATCAACAACATCTGTTTCAAAACTACCTTTGCTAGCTAGCTCTCTTCTAAGAGTTTCAGCCTGGGGGGGGGGGGAGCAAAAACGGGAAAACCTACACAAAAATTTATGGCAGCCAAAACAACACAGAGAAACCCTGTCTTGAAAAAAAAATTAATTGCAGTAATATAGGAGTCATATATTAGGTCAAGTACACTAGGATGCAGTGTTACATTTACTAAGCTACAGTTCAAAGCACACATTTACACATTCTGAATATGCTAAACATATCTAATTTAGTCATACTGACTTCACTGACATTTGAGATAAGGGTGAAAGACATTTTATACGACTTAGCTGTGGATATGCGCTCTCCACACAGCAAGAGGTTCACTTTAAGTTGTCTATCTCCATTCCTCTGCATCTCTTTGTTTTTTTTCCTTTGAGGCAGGGTCTCACTGAACCTGGAACTTAGTTTCAGTTAGATTTGCTTGTATCGAGAATTGTAATTGGTCTTAATAAAAACCCAGAGTCAGATATGGGGTAAAAAGAGAAGTAAAGGAATTAGCCAAAGTCACCTCTTACCCAAGACTCCTCAGGCCGAAAAGGGGGCTGAGCTCCTGTCTCTGCCCGCCTTATATTCCTCTCTCTGTCCAGCCATATAACTTCCTGTTTCCAGACTTCTGTGGTTAACTAATGGCTAGCTCCACCTTCTGATCTTCAGGCCAGCTTTATTTGTTAGCGCACAAAGTATCATCACACTTGCTAGGCAGCAGGCCTCAGTGGTCTGTGGTCCCACGCCTAGCCTCACACCAGGGCTGAGATTACCTAAGAAATCCATAAACACCGTCATCCATATTCCTCAGCTTCTACTCCAGAGTTTATTTTCAACAACATTAAGTTCAATTATGAATACAAAAGACACACAAGTAGGTTGAGGTTCTGAAATCATTTTAATACCAGAGTATTTCGTGATTTTTTTTTTTTTTATCTTCACTAGAGGTAAGTGTGTGGAGGACCCTGCAAGTGTCATGGCTGGCAGGGAAACAATCGGTGAGGTAAAAGTGAAACTCTGTCCAGTCCAACTTAGCCAGGGCTGGGCCAAACTTCTGGAGTCTGTGACACCTGGTGGTTTATTTTAGCCATATTTAAACAGCACAATTTTGAAAAAAAGGTTTCCTGATGACAATTAGCTCAGTCCTGTGAGTACAACAAAGCTTAAGACATGTTTACGTAGAAACTGTTTACAAAGTACAGAGGCCTTCTTCCATAAAGATGGGTACTGTTGACTCAGAAACAAGGTAAGGGTCTCGGGAGAATGACTGAGGTAAACATAATGCCCGTGGGAGTCAGGATTGGGCTGTGCCTACAACAGCAGAGAAGTCACTTAGGCTGTTGTAAGGTACAAGTGACATCTGTCATAAGGATGGGTTTTATGGACTGAAAAGCAAGGTTCAAGATCTAGTGGAGGTAGGGAGGTGAGTGGGATAAACAATATTCTGGGGGAGTGAGGTGAAGCCTGGCCCTGCACATAGCAAAGGTGACCAGGTTATAAACCCCATCCTTTCCCAGCGGTCATGGTGGAAGACAGGTAAGCATCTCCTTCCTCCGAAGAGCTAAGCGTGGGAGTTTAACTTTTCCTGCTTTCCCTGCGCTTACCTGTGTGCACAGACCTCTTACCCTGTATAATGTGAACGTCTACCTATTCACCCCAGATACGGTACCACCACCAAAGAGACGGTTTCAACCAGGACTAGCTTGGGGAGCCGGTGGGTTTTATTGGGGTTACCTATGAGTGTGGGTGAAGTGTAGAGGAGCATGGTGAATCGAAGGCAGTATACCACTAAGAAGCCTACTCAGGTACAAGAGAGAACTCTTGAAAATGCATCCTTGAAGCTCCGGAAATTTCCCAACAGTTGACCTGTCCATCCCCGGATTGATCACATCATCTCTCCTTGTAAAACCCTGGGGAGGGGACTTGGGACGTTTGTTTCAGCCGTTTTTCTGGGCTTGTCAATTTTGTTTCCTGGGTCTTCTGAGCCTCCATGCTTTGCATGAGAAAATGTTTCCATTTGGGGGAGATAGCTATTCAAAACAGAGACTTCAAGAAAGATGCCCCATGGAGGACTGATAATGTGATTAACTTTTTGGTTGGAAGTTGGTTTCTGTGAAGCCGCTACCAATGTCTGACACGCGTATCATGAAGCCAGCGTCCACTGCCATGTTAAACACGGACAGAGCAGAAAGGTAAACGTGAGGCTCTGAGCAAGCACTTAAAACATGGAATTTAGCTATAGTTATGTGGGCCTCGAGTTCCTTAGCACATCCCAGAAGACCCCTGTGGTTCCTCGGTGTAGGACTAGCTTTCATGTCCCCACTGCCAATCTGTCGTGTGCTGTCCGCACGCCCTTAGCATTGGGTGATCTGTACAGCTGCACTGCTCCCTGTCATAGGCATCTTTTGCCAAGTATTTCATCTACACGGTCTTACATGACGGTTTCCTGGAAATGCACTTGCACTGAAGCCATTTTGTATTTGCTAAAATAAGCAAATCCAGTACAGCCAGGGCTGTCACATGTCACTGTGTAAATGGCCACCTGCGCCACCACATTCTGCCACTGACTGCTTCACAGTCTTCCCAAGATCTCCAACAAAAATGCATTTCCCCCATTCCAAGTTGTTTTCCTCAACAGAGATATCAACTTATTTCCAGTGTTTGTTCCTTCACTCAATAGGGGACACAATCAGTAATTGTCAATATAACCTTCACTTCAGCCGCGTTACAAAGACAAGTCATAAACCCAGGCCAGTGTCCTTAGAACACGCAACCAAACACAGTTGGCAGATGGACTCCTCATTACAGTAACCAAGGGTTTTATGGTAAAGGCCTAGGCTCTAGAAACCCTGGCTCGGTGCGATCACTCATCCAAATTCAAGAGAAAATCAAAATAGATAGGGTGGCTATATTGTGAAAGGGGGCAAATACAGGTCCAGTGACACCCCAAGTCCATCTTCAGGATACTGACGTGAGCTTTACCCTTAAGCAGAGGAGAAACCGTGGTGGGAACGAGGTTAGCATAATGAAGCAGTCCTGGTAAATGTGCAGTCTCTTTGATCACTGCTACAGTTCTGACCCTGCAAGGTGGGAAGTCCATACTGCTGTCATCATGGGAGGACACCATCCTCTCATACAAAATGATCATTTCAGCTCCGTGGATAATTACCCTCATCTGCTACCATGGAAGAGAAAGAGAGGACAACGACTCATCTTTGTGCCTTCAGCAAAAGAAAGGGAGACAGACACAAAGTCAGGCAGAGATGCCAGGCTTTCAGTTACCCTGTGGCCACAAGAGGTCTTTTTATTTTTTGAAAAGCACAAGCGCCTGCTTCTTTAGGGACTAGGTTCCTGAAGTAGCTCAGTGCTGAAGTCAAACAGCCCAACACACCACTTCCATGCCCTTGGGTCGGCACACTTGTTTAGGACGTCCCCTGGGAGTTAATTATACAAGAGTCTGGTTCAAGTGTGTCCTTCTGTTGAATTTTTAGAAACTTGGAGCACAAATACCCAAGGTGGCCTGAACCCGATCTGCAGGGACTCTGGGAGGAAAAGTGCAGCCAACACCATCGGAGCAGCAACGTGACAGGAGCCAAGGAAACAATGTAACAGCTGCCTGGGTGGAGAGAAGATTCGGCTGACTCACGAGAGAGCGGCAAAGCCAGATGTTAGTCACTGCAAAAGGTGACAGTGTGGAAAACTAAGGCAAAGAGAACACGAGGAGCAATATTTGTGTGGTTACATCTGGTAAATTCCTTCCGTGGTGCTGACAGACCCCCGTGCATACCAAAAAGCACACTAACCCTGACCTACATCCCAGAACGTGCCAAACTACCACGAGAAGAATCAGTACACAAATCAAAACACTTGGTGAGCCGGGCAGCTGCCCAGGCAGCAGAGCAGCAGGCGCAGGGCCGCCTGGCCGGGGGTGCGCACAGAGAAGCGGCTGACAGCCCAGCGCACTGCACGCCCGGCCTGGGACGGGACGCCCGTGCCGGGGCACAGCCGCCTCACCCACACCCCGCACACTTCCCGAGCCACCGCTGCGCCCGCGCTCGCCGGCGGCCCTGCTGGAGGCGGGGCGCACTCGGCCCACTTCCGCCCCGGCAGAGGCGACCGACGGCGGGACGCGCCCAGTGCGACAGGCCGGTGCGCCGCCGAGGCCCCGGGCCTTCCTTCCAGCGGCCGCACGCAAATGAGGGCTCCGGCCACGCGCGTCGTGATTCGCGCGTTGGCGGCGGCGGCGGCGCTGCGGCGAGGGAGCCGGGCTATGTAAATGAGCGGATTGTGTGCGCACGCTCCTATAGGCCAGGGTGTGAGGCCGCGCGTGAGCCAATGAGAGCGTCGGGCGGACAATCGGGGCTCTGCCTATAAAAGGGTGAGGCGGCGGCGCTGGCGTGCAGTTTCCTGTTTGTGAGAGTCCCTGTGTTTGCCATCATGTCTGGTCGCGGAAAGCAAGGCGGCAAGGCCCGCGCCAAGGCCAAGTCGCGCTCGTCCCGCGCCGGCCTGCAGTTCCCGGTGGGGCGCGTGCACCGGCTGCTGCGCAAGGGCAACTACGCGGAGCGCGTGGGCGCCGGCGCGCCCGTGTACATGGCGGCCGTGCTGGAGTACCTGACGGCCGAGATCCTGGAGCTGGCGGGCAACGCGGCCCGCGACAACAAGAAGACGCGCATCATCCCGCGCCACCTGCAGCTGGCCATCCGCAACGACGAGGAGCTCAACAAGCTCCTGGGCAAAGTCACCATCGCGCAGGGCGGCGTCCTGCCCAACATCCAGGCGGTGCTGCTGCCCAAGAAGACCGAGAGCCACCACAAGGCGAAGGGCAAGTGAGGCCGCTGCTGGCGCCGGCCCGCGTCTCCGGGAGACGCCCGCGAACTCAAAGGCTCTTTTCAGAGCCACCCACTGGTTCAGATTAAAGAGTTGTGTCACGGTACCGGCGTCGTGGCCTTTGCCGGCCCATCCCCGAAGTGTAGGCTGTGGCTTTGCCACTCGCCTTGCGCGTCCCCAGCGCCTTCCCCACCCTTGTCCGCGGTCCCCAGGTATTGCGTTCGGTCTTGGTTGTCCTGTGCGGGATCGGGCGCGTTACCGTCCTAAGCACTTAGCGCCATATGTCACCCCGACGCGCACCCCGGTAGGTGTCCCGCCCGCAGCGACCAGCGCGCCGGCTCCCCACCTGCACTCCTGACAGTTCCCGCCCCTCCGTTAAAGCTGGCGGCCGTCGAGGCCAGGCCAGACGTCAGTCCCACCCAGCTGCCGCTCCCGCCCGGTCCTTCGGCAAAGTCTAGGATAGGGGACGTGTCCCGTCCGCAATGACGGCCGCGGCCAGCTCCCGGGATCGTGGGGCCCTGGGCGGCACTGAGCACGAACTCTGTGACTTGGGAGCTTGGGGCGGGCGGGCGGGCGGGCGCGCTTCTCCCTGGCAGAGCCGGGAGCGGCCGTCTACCGGCAGCTGCGAGAGGCGGCCCCACCCGCGGGGCGCGTTGTCAAGTCCGCTCGCCGCAGGGAGGGGACGAGGGGCGGGCCGGGCACCGGGGGCGGGGCAGGCCCGGGCCAATCGGCGGGTTCGAGCACGGTGACGTCACGGCCAATGGCCCGTCAGCGCGGGACTTTCAAGTCGCTGTCTCCGCCCCGCCCGCGGGAAGAGTGCGCCTATAAAGACGGGCGGCCGGGGATCCGGGCAGGTCCCCGAGTTCCTGGTCTGGGTGTCTCCTGTCTCTGCCATGGCTCGCACGAAGCAGACCGCCCGCAAGTCCACCGGCGGCAAGGCCCCGCGCAAGCAGCTGGCCACCAAGGCTGCCCGCAAGAGCGCGCCGGCCACGGGCGGCGTGAAGAAGCCGCACCGCTACCGGCCGGGCACCGTGGCGCTGCGCGAGATCCGGCGCTACCAGAAATCGACGGAGCTGCTGATCCGCAAGCTGCCGTTCCAGCGCCTGGTGCGCGAGATCGCGCAGGACTTCAAGACCGACCTGCGCTTCCAGAGCTCGGCCGTGATGGCGCTGCAGGAGGCGAGCGAGGCCTACCTGGTGGGGCTCTTCGAGGACACCAACCTGTGCGCCATCCACGCCAAGCGCGTCACCATCATGCCCAAGGACATCCAGCTGGCCCGCCGCATCCGCGGGGAGCGGGCCTGAGCTCTTGATCTCGGTTCCATCCCACCAAAGGCTCTTTTCAGAGCCACCACATGTGCCCAGAAGGAGCTGTTTGCGTCTCTGTCTTTTGCGTGGTCTCTCACGGTCTGGGGAAGGGGTCGGTTTCGGGGTAATGGCCGAGCAGCGACGAGCACTGTTTGGGTTTCTCCAGGTATTGCATCTGCGGCTTTTAGTGTTTAAGGAATTTTTTTTATGTTAGCTGCGGACTGGCCCTTCAATCTTTGCTTTTTCTAGTCCCACTAACGCAATCACTGCAATTCATGTCTACTTGGCCATCCTTACACTCTGCAGCCTTTCAACTGGTATGGTGCTGAGGTAAGGTTGGTATTTCCAAATCCTACCGGGGTGCGCCACCACCACAGGCAAGGTTGGTATTTCCAGATGGGCTGGAATGGCTGGCCGTTGAGTCTGACGCTAGGGAGAAACTTAATATTCTGTATCTCAGTCCCGGAGGTCAAGGATCCGTTGTGTTAAATCTGACCGGAAGTGTTGGGTGCCACGCCCATCACTGACCAGTACTGCATGTGTGCTATGACCTGGTTGGGAAAATTAGGTGAGTGGGAGTGGCTGAGCATATAGGGTATTGCGTGCTTGATGATATACTATGTAGCCGCAGCCCTGGCTCGAGCAGAAAGGGCTTTATCTAAACTAGTGAACGCCCAGGAGACCTGGCTTCCCCCTTCCTCATAATTAATTACCTCGCTAAATTTCTAGACTGCTGAAGATAAAATGGTTGCTCCTTCCCCTGTGTCTGATAGGCAATGTCTGGGCTTACTGTGTGCTCATTCATGGTCAGTGGTAAGTGGACCACTATCAGTAGTAATATCCAGTGACGCTCACCTTTCCTCTTCCTCTTAACACGAGGAATTAGACCTCTTGTTAGGATCTTGGAATTCAACATTTATTACTATGATCTGACCATAGGATTCCGTGGCAATTCGTTAGTTTCTTCCCTTATTTCCATTTAATTTACTTTAAAATGCCAACCCAACTGTGTATTTATACACAGAGACCTTTCTGTACAGAAGTAGACTCTGGATGTCAAGGAAGGATCTGCTGCTATTCCTTGGCCTGAGGAGGGTCTTCTGCAGGGGTGGATGTTGAACCTGTGAATCAGAGACCACCGTAAGTAATCCAGTCAGTCACTGTCAGGGACCTTCCCTCTTGTCGACAGTCTGAAACTTCCAGGAAGCAAACTTGAGCTTTGTCTAAATATTTGAGACGTTATCAACCCAAGGCTCTTTGAATTCAAGATACTGGTGGTCAGCGACCCAGGGAAACAACATGTCCCTCCGCCCACCTCTCTGCCATCTGGGAGCCCCCAGAGCTGGGAGGAGGATTGGAGATGTGCTCTGAACTGAGTAAAAATGGAAAACAAAGACAGCCTGTTAACTGGGTCAAGGTCTTGGAAAGCCTGCTTTACACCCGGTTCCTAATCCTCCTGATCATTGACACCTGAGACACCGAGGAGTGGAGGAACGGAAGCAGAAACACTTTTTAAAGTATGAGTGAACAAAGGGGGAAAGTGAGGAAAAGTCATCCTGACGGTGTCCCTCCCAGTTGTCACCCCGGGCCCGCTAGGATTTTCCCAGTAGGTTTTTGTTGTGAACTGAATTATGCTCCTGGGCCCCCACTCATGGTGAAGCCGTACCCCACGTATTCAGTGTGAAACTAGAACCTTCCAGTCAGCAATTCAATTATGACAACAGTGTCGCTGCCTGTTACAGAATGGTGTTTGTAAGGGGGTATTACAACATGTGGGGTGACAGAAATGCCGTAAGAAGGTGGCGACTGCAAGCCAGGGAGAAAAGATGTCTAGTCTCCAGATTGAAGAGAGATTTTCCTCTGTTAACCTACCCAGTATGGGATATTGTGTTGGAGTGGCCTGCTATGGTCTGGATATGATTTGAGATGTGTTTCCCAGAGTTTCTGTGTTCAAATTATTTCATTCAAAAGTCTCCAGTGTGGCTATGTTGAGGGTTGGGGGGAATCTTAAATCGGTAGAGTCTAGTGCAACATCATTAGAACGTGAGGTCATCGTTCTCAGAATTAATTACGTATGCCCTCAGGAATTAGTTCTAGCAAAAGCTGGTTATCATGAAAGTGAGACCACCCTGTATTCTTGGCTTTCTGCATGTTGCAAGGTCCCTCTGTTTCTCCGCTGCATTGTAATGCAGCCAAGTACATGCTGTTTGGACCATCTAGTCACCAGAACTGCCAGCCAAATATACATCTCTATCAAGAACCTAGCCTTGGGCATTTCGTTATAGCAACAGCAAATAAGCTAACAGCTTCCTAGCCAACTTATCCGGCTCACTGAGTTTCTGGTCAGGGCCTCATTCCCTGTTCAGAGCCGCAATGGATGACGGGTCCTTCCAACCTGTACTCAGATATGAGCAGAAAGTTCATCAACGGCCCAAGGCTGAGTGGAGACAGCACATTTGCACCCACCATCTCAGTGAACTTTGCTTCAAAGGTTGAGCCCCAAAGTTCTCAGAACATAAGTGATTTTTCTACTACATCAAAACTATTAGTGGCCAAGCAGACCCCTAAGCATGCAGATTTACACCATGAATTGAAACTAAGGCAGATTCCATAGCAAAATGCCAACCAGTTAGATACCAAAGATAGCCAAGATAGCCCCACCCACACCAGAAATCTGGATGACAACAGCCTGTCCCTGTCATGTTCTGAGGTAGTCAGGGGTCCCTGGCTTAGCAGAAACAGCGGTGGCCTGCCTCGGCCCTTCTCATTTTAGGCCGCTCACTGTCTCCTAGGACTGTGAGGACTCACTTGCCGAACTCAGATGTAGGAGAGGACGGAAAACGGAGGGCAGGGGTAGTGTACTGGGCAGTGCAGGACCTGGCCTCTCTTGGCTGGCGTGGACCGGTGGAAGCCCTCTCATGTTTAATCTCTTCTGGCGTCCTGTCAAAGGTGAGCCTTTGAGGTCGGTGACTTGCCTGCCTCACAGTCTCTTCCAAGGCGGCTACCCAGCAGCTGTGAACTTTGAATGAGTTAAATCACGGTCTCCGCTCAGCTGCCCTAAGGGAAGAAAAGAGCTGACAGTGTGTGCTTCCTTCTGAGGGAATAACATTATTAGACCAAATTCCTCTCACCCAGGCTGGAACCAGCCTTCCCCGGACCCTGCTGCCTAACACAGCAGCCACCTTAGGGACAAAACACACACAAACACACACACACACACACACACACATACATATACACACACACACACATACACATACAATACACATACACACACATACACACACACATACACACACACATACACATACAATACACATACACACACATACACA